CACACACACACACACACACACACACACACACACACACACACACACACACACACACACACACATACACACACACACACAGAGACATTGGCACATATGGTATCAAAACATTTTTTGAACAAACATTATCGTGTCATCAACTGTTAGAAGTGTCAATCGGTTCAGTACTTTTTACTTTCCTTATTACAGACTATATGCTTTACTCCTTTCAATGCTTACCGAATGTACTGAAGATGAACCTGTAAATCTGTTATCTCTATTAGAGGAAATGGATTCCATCCAAATCTCTCCTTGCCTCTTACTCTCATTACTATAGAAATTCATCGCCTATCCCTGTGTCTCCTCAAACACACACTCTCTCACATCCTGAACAAAAGACTTGTCTTGATTCATCCGGCATCCGGTCCAAAGATATATTAGGTGGTGTCGTCCTTACTGTTCTATTTTCATTCTTATTCTGGGAGATGTGTTTTATTCGGTTTGATTTTCTGGGAGTATGTTTTATTCGGTTTTCGGTCTTTTTGTTTTATTTGTTTTGATAGTGGTTTGAATGAATTACAGAACTACACTTAATATTACTTCTTCGATGACCTATGACCGCAGTCGTGGAGACAGTAAGTTTAGAAGAGACAGTAAGTTCAGTAAGTCTCGACCTTTGTCTGTAGTATGCGTCCAAATGTTGTCGATTTGAGGGTGGAATGCTTCGGAGGATATGGCTTCAGCATCTGATGCTATGTCGAAAAACACTACCTCTGGTAATATATCCTAGCGCGGCTTCCTTTCCGACTATTATTTCTGCTTCTTCAACAAGATCTTTGAACTTTGACCGGTACACATTTAAGAGCCACATTTTTCGAATGATTCATTTATGCATCTTTATTTTTTGAGCTATTAAGCGCTCCCTTAACTGCATCCAAAGTTTCCTAAAAATAATGATGAACTCACATACTTTACAGCATTAGAAAGCTTAGCATTGAGACATAAAGCTGTTTCTTTAAACAAAAATCCCTTAATTTGATAGGGAAAATTGCCTTATCAAATTCATAAATTTATTGCAAAAGAAAACATCTAATTTCAAGTTAAAATAATCACATATTATTTTCAGCAATGGTAAAATCTACACTTCTCAACACGTTGCGAAAGTAAAAACAAAATTAGACGAGAATCAAAGTGAATCTGGGAACAAAATTGCAACTATACCAAATGCCTTGTGCTTATTCAGGTTTCTTTCTTTAATTTGTAAGCTTTATGCATTGATCTCATTTATTGACAGGTCCACATGAAAATTAAAGGTGATTTGTTTATCTTTATAAAATCTTGAACGCCACTTGTTTTATGGGTAATCCTATATTTATACCTCACCAACGGATATTGACGGTAATGGATTTACAAACTGAAGTAAGCTGCGTGGGTTATAGAAATTAAGTGGTGTACCGGATTTTTTATGCATAATTTCAGAATTGGATTGACGCCGGTAGTTGGATATTTAATAATAAAAGAATCATATATGACTGCACTGGCCTTATTTGCTGTTAGTGGAATAACGGATTGG